ATTTTTATTAGCATTTTTAAAATACAGTTAATACAGTTTGCTGATATTCTAGTTTTCCTTCCTACAGTTTTTAACAGCCAGCGAACTTCATAAACAAGACAAGAAAACAGTAACTTTTAAGATGGAATTGGTTTTAGCATTTTTTTTTTAAGAATGTGTTTATCATATCATTTTGAAATGATAAATCTTCTATGTAGAGGCACAGCAAGGAAAATAAACACTGGTCCACAAATAAGACGAATGACAAAATCCAAGTAGCACAGCAGAAGGCAGTGAATGCCCATAGCATCAGTTATTGTAGGCTTTAAGCATTCAAATCTAGTGTTTATCAAGAAAAGAGGGCCCTGAATTCTTCTTAGCCCATGAAAAGGGTCCAGATAACCAAACAGTATTAAATTTAAGAGTGTACCACTTAGGTGAACAGTGAAAACTTACATGCACATCACATAGAAATGCTCCATGATTCATTGTCCTGCATACCACATGAGCCTAAAAAACTATCTCCTTTTAGACAATAGGGGTAAAGTCTAATATTACTGTTAGGAGAATGATCCCGTTTTCAATTTTTATATATAGACCACTTAAAATGTATTGCGGAAATGTGTTTAAAAGTTTTGATAGTATTCATCATATCTTGATATTCATGAAATTATCATTTAGGGTATTTCATGGGTAACCACATACTTTTGCTAGAAACATGTGGATACCAAAGAGAAATTGGATATGTTTTTTTTTTAATTTAAAGTGGTTTTAGAGGCTCAAGGTATTTACCTTCATGCATTGTATGCATGAAAGTAAAAAACCTTCTCCGTGCAGCATCCCCCCCCAGCCCTCCTCAATACTCACCTAAGCCCCCTCTTGATCCACTGATGTGCACTGGAGTCTCGCTATCCCGGGACTCCCTCTCCTCATTGGGTAAGACAGCAGCGAGAGCCACTGGCTCCCGCTGCTGTCAATCACAGCCAGTGAGCCAATGAGAAGAGAGAGGGGAGGGAGCCATGGCCATGTGTGTGCAACCGGGGAACCTGACAGGAGGGAGGGCCAGGATCGCTGGCGGGGGACCAGAGAAGAAGAGGATCCAGGCTGCTCTGTGCAAAACCACTGCATACAGCAGGTAAGTATACACATGTTTGCTATTTAAAAAAATTAAGCCTTTAGAATCACTTTAATTGCTCTCTATCTGAAGTATTTTTTATAAAGCCATTTAAGCTTATGGTTTGCAGTTACTACTTTAATTAGAGCTGCTCAATTTAAAGATTTAATCTCTAAATTTTTTGTGGTATTATATGAAAAATTTAAATAAATATTTTTATAATTCAAAAAAAACTGTTGAATTGTACTTTGCAATTTAGTTTTTGAAGTTTTATTTGTATATCTGCTTTATTAAATAGTTACTACAATAAGCAGTAAAAAGTAAATGGTGTGTAGATCCAATAAACTTTTGCACTTTATAATTTTAAGATTTGGGTATGTTGTTAGAGAAGTAAAATGCTATGTTGATATTAAACAAATTCACTCTATTCCTGTTCTGATGTCAACTCAAAACATGTGATTTTCTTCTACTTTCATTTTCGCTAATAGTAGTAAACAGGACAAATAGAGAGGGTGAAGCTCCCTAACAGGGGCAGAGACAGCAATAAAAAAAAACTGACAGGTGTTCTAATCCCTCTCCACTCTCTTCAAAAGTTAACAAAAAAAGTTTTACCTCTAGCTACAATGTACTTTTCCAGCACATTTTAATTTTATCAGAAGAAAGCTGAGGGACAATACTCTCATTGCATCCCTGCTATACTTGCTTTAATAAAGATTTAACTTATATACTACACTATGAGTATTTCCCTCGGTCTCCTGTGAGGAGCTTTTCAATTTTCAGAGCCCTAATGTGATCCATCAGCTCCAGAGAGGGGAACGTTTTTTTTTACCATCAAGGATTTCCTATCTACACATCCCTGGAAGGGGATCTCTGGCTTTCTGGATCCCATCTTCACCACACAAGGGCGCTTCTTCCTCATTATCTCCAGTTCCAGTCCATATTCTGACCAGAGAGAGGGGGGATCTTCAGGATAATTACACACCGCGTATTTTGAATACGCTTCTGGTTAGTGTGCATTTCTACCATATGCACTGGGAATGCAGAGAGCACCTTCACAGAACTTTATTTCATTTCAGTTTCATTTTTATTTTACTATATTGTTTGTGCATTTGTATCATTGGCACCTTCCATTTGTCAGTGGTGCATTTTACATTTTATGCTATTTTACAAGGTTTTATATGGTTTCCTTGAATGTTCAGCTGCTTATTTTAGAGCGCTCACTGTAGCATTTTACTATTACGCACCCATAGGCTTAGCTCTAATTAACTTATTTATAGTATGTCTTTGTTTTAATTAGATGTAACTAAAGCTACTTGACTTGACAAGAAAATCAATAATTAATGACTCATTCCATTCAATTACTTGATTTTCAATTATTGACTTATATTTTCAGTTCAATTATGTACTTGACATTCAGTAACTTGACTAAGAAAATCCAATTAATTCTCCACAAAACAAACGGAGATTGCAAATGCATTTTGTGCAGATATATTTCCAGACTCTTTAGCACCATCTTTAGGGAACTACTTGACATTTTCATTTAAGATTTTTGATGTTAAAGATCTGAAGTAAAAACCCACTATCATATATACACTGTGACAGTGCAAAGTCTTGCCATGGTGTGAGAAGGGTTATGGGGCACCCAAGGTTCTCATCCATACATCTTAAGGACTTGTTCACACCATTGTGCAGAGATGTCACACCTTCTGCAAGGGCACAACAAATACAATTGTTATCTATGTACCCTGTTCACACCACAACACTGTCATTAGCTTTTTATGGTAAGTGTATGCATTCTATGTAGCAAAACTTCCAAAAAGAAGCATCATGGTACCTAAAAATATATATACAATCAAACGAAAATACATATTCTGGGAGTCCCTAGACACCAAGCCAATGAGAAACTTACAAAAAAAGAACTAGTTGTGGACTCAACAGGAATAGGGAATTTGTGAATACTCAAGAAAATATTTCAAACAAAGGAGGTGATCAGTGGCGCACGAAAACTTCTTTATTACAGACAAAATAAAAAATATAAAACAAACACAAAAAATTGTACCATACTCCACAGGTCCCAAAGAGGTCAATCCCTGTCAGGGGAAAACTCATTAGTAGAAAGATAATTGTATGGATGACTCATAGGTAAGACTCATTTGTAAGCTATAACATGTTTCATGCAGGAAAGAGTGCAAAGGCATAATAACAAAAGAACTCCTATACTCAGAATTGACCAGCCATAAGTGCCAGGATAAACCCAGCACCAGACAAATCATACAGTGAGACTGGTGTAAATGTTAGTGTAATACAGGGAGGGATCCAGGAAAGGTAGTAAAACCCCCCATATACACTAAACACCAAGGCATAAAGATCACAACAGCAAATGATCCTAAACGTATGACCACATGTTGTCCAGAGGAGGATGTAAATAATGGTATATAAAAGGCCGGTGACCCTCTCAGGTGCCAAGCTGTAGGGCACCATCCCGAGGAGATCCTAACAGTCCACTATCACCTCCCTCATACATGATCAGGTCAAGGACTAAGCTGGTGTATTGATGGATGTTCCTGAGAGTAGGTATGCTCTAGAGGTGGTTTTAGATGGAAAGTGCCTCCCTTGAGGGGATATAACATGTAGCGGCCATAAATGAACTAGCACCAGGTTTTGCCTCAAATTCTATATACAGTACTTTTGGGTTTTTATTATTTCTCAGAAATATCACTTTGACTGCCCATTCATATTCTTTTTATTCCGAGAAGATACATGGCTTCTTTGCCCAGGCGTTATACAAGGATAACATTTTCTTCTCAATCCAGCATCCAGCATACGCTTGCATGTAGATCCCAATGCCTGTGTATTCACCTTTTTGTTTGAAGTCCTCCTGCCCTTTCATTTACAGCTTGCTAGAAAAATAAAATATTACAGCAGTCCTAGTGAGGGAATACCGGGAAAGGAGAAAGGAAAACATATTTCCTCTTCACTGCAAAAGACTTATGGAATCATGCTACCAAGGTCCAGAAACAGTCTTTTGACAGGAGGTCAAAGATTATTTAGGGCCCATTCACAACACACACCGCACTGCAACACAACAATGTGCAAACAGTTCCCAAAATGGTGGACCCAGATTGCAGCAACTTATTGATGCCTGACTGGCTTCTTGTTAGTAAGAACCAGCACAGGTTCTGAGAAGCATGCTCTGGGGTCCCTGAACACCGCGGGTTAATAGTCACTAAAGCATCCATGAGCTGAGATTCTCTTAAGGGTAATGTGGACTGTGACATATCACAGTCAGATTTCAGTAATACATTTTTCCCCAAAAAAGTTTTATTTTTTCTGAATATGAATTATTACCATTTTAATAGCAAAAAGTGCTTATCAAGGTTCTTTTTTAATTGAATATGACATGCTATTGGGAACACTTTCATGAGAAAAAGGTATGTATTTCTAAAATAATCTATGAATGTTACACACATCCACTGTCAACTCTACACTCATCAAAATATGCATAATCATGCTGCTTTTACTTGTCAGGCAATAAAAGGTACCCCACTTCTTTCTCATGTTTGACAATAGGAAAATTAAGCTACATAAGTTAGATGTAGCCCCTCCTCTCACTTTCTTTTGGTTTGAGACCTGTCACATTAAAGGACCAATAGAGCTGTTTGAGAAGTTCAAGGAGACAGGGCTAAGTTTAATTTTATAGGAACTTTTTCATAAAACCTGCCTTTGACTCGTTTAATGAATTTGACATGAACTTTTCAATAAAGAAATTGTGTGTATGCATTTATTCTTTACATGCTCATCTCAAACTGGGCATTGTTAAAAATTAAAAAAAATGAATTTGTCAAACTACAGGAAAAATATTATTTAACACTAATATAAAGAAATTATTAATCTTTGAAACTTTGCACTATAGAAATAGGAACTTACCATCTGATGTTTCAACACACAGTTGTAACCCCAGATTGTTCTGCGGATTAATCACCCAGTGGTTACTGGTCACTGTAATATCAAACACCAGCCAACCAACTTCATAAGCAGGAACTCTCTGAGTATCTAACAAAAAGAGGTCTGCATCTCTAAAAAAAAACAAAAAAAAAAAACAAAAAAAGTTATTAAATAAATACACATTTACAATACATCATCCTCTATATAGAATCACTTAGGAGGGTTTAAGACACTTCACAAAAGATTACAAGGAGTTCATGTAGTACAAGATACCCAATTACCTAGAAAGCATTCAATAGTGTTCATCAGTTTATATTATGCTACCACTAATGCTCTCACCATCTAGTAGACAGTGGAGTGGATTTCCTAAAGGCAAAAAAGACTGTGCACTTTGCAAGTGCAGTCGCGCTCATTTTCCTTGATACATTTAAATGTGGTAAAGCTTCACTTTGTAAAGAATACCCAATCAGGTGCAAGTAACATAAAAAACAGCATTTTTGCTTGCTTATGATTGGATGATGGAAATCAGCAGAGTTTTATAGCATTTACTAAGCTTTTGGGAAAATGAGTACAACTGCACTTCAGAGTGTACAACATCAAATTATCTGTGCATTATATTTGCTGTCATTGAAATAAATGATACACAGTGAAAGTCTAAAAAGAGAGTAAACAGCAATGTCTTCCTAGCAAGACAGTATAACAAATGATAAATGCATATCAGAGAATACGCCAATACACACTTTTTTGCATATAATAATTTTATTGTTCAGTATAGCTCAGGGGCGGACAGACCATTTGGAAACTCGGGCACTGCCCGAAGGCCCAGGGTCAGTAGCAGGCCCCATGAGATGTCCCTGGTACCTTTTTCATAGGCTTTTTTGAGTTTGGGCAAGGACACAGGGGCCCCATGATCCCCTATTGCCCCATGACTTGTCAGTCCGCCCCTGCTTGTGTAAAATGCTCTTAAAGCTATATTTTTGTTTAAACAACTATTCCATCAGAGGGGAAAATATATGCATATGATTTAAATATCCTAATCAATCCAAAATATCCTCTCCAATCATCTCTATTATACAGGGAGAATACAGTAGTGGGCAATGTTGTTAATTGTAATCACACTGTTGTCTCTCTCTCCCTCTCTTCTTGCATTGTATTTGCTGTTTCAGAACCAAGATTGCTTTTGATTTTCTAATCACAGGGACATTTATAGCACTACTAAGAGTGTTGCTATAATTAACCACTTGCCCTCCAGATGATTTACCCCCCTTCCTGTGAAGGCCATTTTTGCGTTATGCTATGCTATGCAGAGCCATACAAAGCAGTGTGCAGGAGCTGACAGGGGAGAGAACTGTATTGTTTATAGACAGTTCTTTCACCAGTCAGTAATACTCGGCAATCAATGGGTGCTGACGAGCAATCACCGGCCAGGACCCAGTGATTGACAGCCGAGGCCACGAATAGCGGCGCGGGTAGGGCACGCGCGCCCCCTACCCAGGGATAAAAAATCACGTACATATACGTGATTTTGTGCACCCCTGCTGCCCTGTGGCAGTATTTCTGCTATAAGGTGGCAGGAAAGTGGTTAAATACACATTCATACAAGTAATCAGAGAATCATTGCTTTGGATATATGAAGATATATATCAGTAAAGGGTAACTGGCAGTGGCTGCAAAATCAGAAAGCTGCTAATGGCTCTTGCCAATGCTACAACCTCTATTTTCAGGTCTGTTCAGGATTCTAGGATTTCAGATTCAAATACTGAAGATCATTAAAAAAAATCCAAATTCAAACCAACAACAACTTTAGCAACAAGTTACAGGTTTAAACTTTCCAAAGCTAATAGTGTTATTTTTAAACACTCTATTAGGTCGAGAAAATATAAAAAAAAGGTAATGCAATATCTTTCTAAATATCACAACGGATGGATTATATTTAGCACACCATAATCAAAATCTACCCTATTCTGGTTTTATTAAAATACCAGCTGCACTTCATAATCTGTCATTTTAGTAAAAACATTCCGACCATGACCTAGAACTAAAAAGAAAGATTCACATAGTTATTAAATAAAAATATGCAATTATAAACACATTTCTAGATTTAAAAAATGTAAACAAAGTTGCTGATTTACTTTTTTAACTCATTAAAAAGTGCTTGTTTTACAAATGCATAGCATTCATGCTTGAGAATGCCTAAAACATAAACACACCTCATATAGGGTCACTAAGCTTCTCCAAGATATTACAGCGTACAGTCATGCAAGCCATTCCAAATTCTAAACTGACCAAATGAATTTTTCTTTAGACCAGATGGTGCACATACCGATATAATCATTACCAATTGAAACCAAACTCAACAATCATCTAATATCTATAATGAGTATAATACTTCCCATAGAATTGTATAAAAAAGCACAGTATAAAAACCTACTGGTGACAAATCAATAATAAACACATTAGGAGGTAATTCAAACTCACTTTGTTAACCCACAAATGCCCAAAGCAGTTTATAGTATCTATCTGTGTGGGTTTAAGCCATGTTTTTACCTTTTAACTTACCTAAATAAAAACTTTAGGTTTGCTAAAGTTGTTGCAAATTTGTGAGATCCTTGCCTGCCTCTGCTTGGTAGAAATAATATAAAATAATAACATACCAATGCATGTCATAAAAGTGAGTGCTAAGTGTGAGAGGTTCAGAGTTGCATAATCACATGAGCATTCCCAGGCTTGTAATAAGAAGAAATACCTATTTCGCCTTTCTAGACAAGAAACATTCTTTACAAGTATATGATTAAAGCCCCTTGCTAGGTCTCCCTCCTGCCCCCTCTCTCCAATTCAGCAGTTTCACTGAACCTGTGCCCAGACCAGGGGTGTATTTACCACAAGGCAAACAAGGCATTTGCCTAGGGTGGTATTTTTCAGGGGGAGCAGCACTGCCCCTTGGAAGAAGGGACACATGCCGCATGGGGACCTGGTGAGTTCAGAGAGATGCTGCGGGTTTCATGACAGTGTATGCACAGCCCGGCTCTCAGTCCTGGGGATGTCCAGAGCTGTGAAGGTGAGTGTCTTTCTCTCACCCACCATGGGGGATGGTGGCTGGTGTATGGGGGTCAGTGGTAGTGGAAGGTTCGGGTGGAGGGCAGGGGTGTTCTTGGTCAATGTCAGGCTCTTTCTGCAGGGGGGCACCAATTTGTGTGTTGCCTAGGGCAGCACAAATCCTAAATACACCACTGGCCCAGACAATGGACACTAAAATATTTACATATACTAAATAAGCAGTAAAGCACTTAAAAAAAAGCCCTCATTCACCTTTGTAGCTTTAGTTATTGCAGATAAATTACATAATTGCCAACTGTCACAGATTGCCCAGGACGGTCCCGGATTTTAAAGCCCTGTCATGGCCGGTCTTTGTCACGGGCTCCGTCCCAAAAATAGGAAATAAACCACACCCATTTTTTGACATGGTGAACTTTGCGCACCACCATCTTCTTTTTCTAATTAGGCCACACCCATTAATGAATGCCCTACTCCAAATTAACATACTACTCCCTCTACACTGTCTTTCTGGTCATAAAGGAAAAAAAAAGTGTCCCTAAAAAATGTTTTAAATGTTGGCAACTATGAAATTAATCTTCTCAAAATACAGATTTAGCCCTGGTTATTTTTAGCCTTATGCCCCGTACACATGATAAGAAAATCGTCCGAAAATTTTAGCGGAGCCACTGATTGAACGATTTTCTCTTTGTTTATGAGCAAGATGTTTTAACCGATAACGATATTGTGAATCGAAAAAATCCAGTTGAACAATGGTGAAAAATGTTGTCGTTTCGCATGCGAACGACCGATTTTCTATGCGGTGGTATGACGGTCATATGAAAAAAATCTATCAAGCGCTATCACGCATGAGCGGAAACAGAAGATGACCCAGATGTTTATGTCCAAGGAATCTTCGTAAACACGAACAAAAAATCCAAATGGTAAAAGTAAATTGGCCTAATGAGATAATGAAACCAGAATGATGCATATTATATTTTTATGTGTCACTGTTTATGTATATAGATAAAGTAATAAACTATATTATACTCATTGCTGTTAATTGTTGTGTATATCACTCGTTCTGGCCGGAAGGGCGTGCTACAAGATCACATGCACACAGCATCACTTCCACTTGTACGGAAGACGTCAACACTACGTATTGCCCGACGAACAATTTTTTTAGATTGGTTAATGTGGGCCATGATGTCAACCAATGAACTAACACCTCTTGAAAGTAGGTAGGTGGTCTTTTTCCTTTTCCTTGGGGGCCCCCTCAAGATACCAACGGTCACACCTGGACACAGCTACGAGATCTCGGAAAGTGAATGCACTCAAATCACCTCAGTTGCGATTGCAAACACTTCAGTTTTATTGGCATAACATCAGGGTTATTATACTGTAGTCTTTAGGCAAACACACCCTCAGACCATCCAATCAAATACATGTACATTATTTTACCTTAACTCAACAATTATTTGTATGAGGTTTGCATTTTCACTCTTCTGCTTTATCTATCATACCATATCTGCTCTAAAGCCCAGACCATGGCTTTAATCTGACCTAACACCCAATTTGTGGTTAAAACTTTTCAGAAGTGAGAGTAAACCTTATCTGCTTTTTTGTAAGGGTTTGCAAAAACACTCATTTCTACATGAAGCTGAGATAGACAGTTTTGTTAGTGTGCACACATCTCATATATGTATATTAAACTAGCATCTTGTATTAGTGTATACAAAATGGATTCAGTTATATTCCATTTAATCCTTTCACCTCTCAGTCATCGGATGACCGATCGGTCGTTTTTCTAATCGTGTATTCCCACCTTTCGTTACGTCCTATTATGATTATTATGTTGCATAAGGATCCTGACAACCTACCAGCCTATTGTAATATAAATACACAGCAGGCACTTCTAAGCTGTTAGGAACTGACTAAAAGCCAGCTTTAAAGTTGCGATCTGTGAGGATCTTTGAAAATTACAGTATATACGTCACCATACAAGCATCTAGAAAGGTTCAAGGATGGCTTGGGTTAAAGCTCTTTTACTGTCACTCTCCCCGCTCCCCATTCTAGTACCAGTCCTGCTCCTATGTGT